TCTATTTTGTTCAGTCATTAAACGGTATTAGAATTGAGAAGTAGGACTCTCTTTCCTCGCCAAATGAAAACACAAGTGACTTGTTGACTGCAAGATTTACTCTCACAGATACTTCCAAAGTAATATGAAATCCGGGCCAAGTATCCACAGAAAAAAGCTAGTGGCATATGCTCCAGGCTCTGTTCCTGAATGCAGCTCCACAGCTCCTTCTCTGTGCCCAGAAGGACTTTATAAATCATTTCTGATTTATGAGGAGCCCATTCGTGCACTACACCCTGCTAGTTGCTGGTGTTTGTCCTGTGCACACTATGACCTGCCTTTTTTGGTGCATACAGAGACTTTTTCAGATGATCAATAGGACAGAAAGCTGAGAATTTTCCCTTTGTCTGGCTCAGCCAAGAGTTAAAGAGGGAGAAGACAGGAGACTTGTCCCTGAGGATTTTGCCACAAGCCTAACTTACTTTCTTCTAAATTGGAGGCCAGGAAAGGGCAGAAAACAAGACAATTATCATTATTATCCTATTTTAGTCAACAAATACACACATTTTTCCAAGTGCGAACAGCCTGCAGGTCATCGTTGGGGACTCAGCAGTAAGCAAAACAGAATTTTGGTTCTCATCGAGATTATACTTACATGTGTCAAGAGATGATGACATGTTATGTAGGGAAAGGGGATGGAGAGAGGAAGGGGAATAGCCATTTGACATCAGGTGTTCAGGGAAGGGATTTCTCCTATTGGTGACCTTTGAAAAGAGACCTATAGGACATGATAGAGCAATCCTAGTGGATATCTGGGGAAATGACCTTCTGGGTAGAACAAAGACTGCCATGTGGGGCCATGCCTCAGATAAGAAGCAGTACCCTGAGGAACTGGAGCTGCAAAGTCGGAGGGAGTAGTTAAGAGACAGGCAGGTGGGGGATGGACAGCCGAAGGGACCGCACTGAGGAGTTGAAATGCCATCTGAAGTGAAATGGGCAGCCTCTGAAGTTCTTCGAAGATTACCAGAGTGGAAGTATGAAGTCAGGAAAATGGGGGACAGTGCTTCCTTCACTTCCTAGAATTAGAATGTGTGCTGTTAGAATCGGAATTGAGTTATCGAAACATTAACTCACCCAGCGCAGAGAGTGAAATAGAAATGATGGGTTTGCTTGATTTGGGTATAAAAGTCACACATGCTTTTCCAATTGGGATGAAGGTGGGTAACCAGGAGCCATTTGTTTACTCAACTGATGACAGTACTTTTCATGGAGCGACCTGCTACTCCATTGAGCTGCCACACCCAGTGATCTGCCCTGCCAGTCTCTTCCCTGGCCATATTTTGGTTACTCTACAGCTGTGGAGAGACCCCACCCCCAACATTCTTAACAGTGTTGCACAGATTGGTGTGAGCTTCAAAGTCAAAGAGCAGCTGGTGGGATACTTGGGATCAGACTCTAGGAGGCATCAATAGCCTGCTTTGCTCTCAGTGAATACAGAGAGGCGATTCTTGCTGTTTTCTACTCACAAACGGCTTACTCTGGTCTAGAGCCACAGAGCGTTTGGGTCTATTAATGTGCAGAAGTTAGAGAGAGGGTGCTTTGGGACTCCTTCTGGGGAATACCGTCCTCAAAATGAGGGTGATGGATACCGACGTGGTCTGTGCCGAGGTGAACATCCTGCCTCTGGATGTTTTGAAGCAGGTGAGCACATCTCAGGAATGTTCTAAGCTGACTCCTGCTTGGCGCAGTGTGTTGGACTAAAATAACCTCTCAGATTCATTGCCATGCAAAACCCCTCCGAACCCGTGACAAAGTGTCCAGTGAATGTGCTCTGCAAACATACAGACACTATATAAACATGAGGCAAATATTTTAAAAGGTGAAGAATGAGATTCTTGTACTTGAGTGAGAGCAGTGGTTGGAATGTTGTGCCCTAGCAGCATGCCTTCCATGCTTAGTCGCCTGCAGTTTGTTCTCATTGGCCCCGTGCACAGGTATCCACATTATGTGTTGAAAACACTCTCAGCCAGAGACCAAACAAATAGCCAACGACATTTTCCTATCAGGGCCTGTTTATAGGAGGGAGAGCAGAAGAACAAAGCTGTTGGATTTGATTATTGGCAGGAAGCCAACACTGCTGCTTCAAAGCTCTGGAGTTTACAAGGAAGAGGAGAAATTTTTAGTTTACAAGGAAGAAAGAGGAGGAACTTTCAGCTGAGATTAAGTTAGAACTAAAGCAACAGAAAACTCAAAACAAAATTAAAGAATCCTCTGGGATTAATGGAAAGGCAGAAACAAAAATGGGTATGTTACAGGCTCTCGGATGATTTTTCAGGGCAAGAAAGAAAATTTTTAAAGGTGCCTGAAGCAGAGATTACAGAATGGTCTTGATTAATGATACAGGATTCCACAGCATTTGAACTGGATAAATTGTGCTTAGTGACCACTGAATCGTGCCTTTTATTTTATAGATAATAAATTAGAGGCTCAAGAACTTGAAGTGACTGCCCAGGGTTACCCAACTAGTTGTAGGTGTTCTGGGACAAGAATACAGGACTCCTGACAACCATTTTGTATTGTAGGCAACATCACAGAAACAGCAAACAAGTAAAAGTTCTATTTCATGTGAGCAAAGTGCAAGTGATGTTAAGAAGGACAGCCACAGTGACTGTATTCTGAACTGGCAGAGCATCTGGTTTGCCAGAATGTGGCCTGATCCCCAGAACCAGAGACACTTGTCCTTGCAGTTGCCACCTCTGTTCTCAAGCTTAGGGCAGAACAGCCGTGAATCTCTAGACCTGTCCCCAGAAATGGAGGCCAAGACAACTGTTGCAGGAGGCCTACAGAGGCCTGCCAACTCTCAGAGCCCAGTCAAGCACGAATGGGTTGTACAAGCCTCAGGAGACAAACAGTGATCAGGGTCCTTCTTAATGACCTGCAGCATCTCACAGCATTCCACCTGTCCTGGTGGGTGCTATTATTTGGCTTCCTGTGCTGATAAGGGTTCTCTCCTCTTTGACAAGAGCCTGAACAAATTGAAACTGTATTTAAAAACCAGCACTCTTTTACATAAAAGAACTTCCATAGAAGAACTCCTTGCCCCCACACCCAGTTAACTTTGTCCATTGAAATTGCTAACCTTTAAATGAGCAGTTGTTACTTGCTTCTGGAATGGGCAAGGAGATTGGGGTGAGTGAGTAATCTGAAGGAAGTAGGGAAGGTGGCTCTCGACTATAATCCCAGCACTTTCGGAGGCCAAGGCGGGAGGATTGCTTGAGCCCAGGAGTTTGAGACAGGCCTAGGCAACATAGCAAGACTTCGTCTCTATAAAAAAAATTTTTTTAAATCAAATAAAAAAATTAGCCAGGCGTCATGGCATGCGTCTGTAGTCCCAGCTACTCAGGAGGCTGAGGCTGAAAGATCACCTGAGCGATCATGCCACTGTCCTCGCACTCCAGCTTGGGCAACAGAGTGAGACCACAGCTCAAAAAAATAAGTGGAAAGGAGGGGAGACTTCTGTATGTCTTCATTTAAACCCATAAGATATTTGTTGTCATTCTTTTTGCCCATCCATTCAATGCATTCATTCATTTTCTTGTTTGTTTATTTTCTGATTCTGTCCAAAGAGCGTTTGTCAGAACTTACAACAAAGTGTTTATATATTGACATAAAATGCAATCAAGTCAGGTTGTGGAGAAAGAGGAAACAGATTTTTAATCCATAAATTGTTGTATGAAGTCAGTGTTAAATATTAAGTATTACTCTGACTTTCCTAGCAGCCACGATTAAAAAAGAAATACACAATTTTTTGTTATGAGAAAAGAAAAAAACACCCAGTTTCTTCAAGAGACTAAGCATTGTGATTTGAGTTTAGTGCCCTTTGTAAACACGTAATGAAGACCTCCATGCTCTTAATACAAAGCTGGTTGCTCACTGTGCTTGCTTCAGGCCACCTGGAGCCCACTGGAGAAAACAGAATGAATGTGCTCAATTCTACTTGGAATGTTTTTCATAATTATTTTAAGGAGTGATTCAAAGTGCCCTAGGCTCTTTATCTGGCCCTTCTCTGCTATGTCAAAGTACTTTTTTGAACAGAGAATCCACAGGGAATAGAGTTCTGCACAACACCACACTGGGAAATGTTGACTCAAAGGATTAGTAGATGGCATGACCATCTGTTAATTTTACTCACTTTCTTGGCCCCTGAAAGTGAGGAGTGAAACTAGACATGCTCAGACATGTAGAGGTCAGGCACTAATATTATACATATACAAGATGAATACCACTGAGATCCCCTTCCTAAGCTCCCCAATCTGAAATTGTACCAAGAATTTAGATATCTTCCAGGAAAAGGAAGAATCAGTCTTGAGAGTCCCATCCCTTTATGTTTCTGCAAAAGTTGTTCGTTCTTAACTCCTTTCTCAATCCTCTTAATACTAGGGATTTGTCAGGAGATATGTCAGAACCCCCTAGAGTGTGTGATTATGGCAGGGAAAAGAATTACAGAAATATGATGTGTTGGACTTTTGTAATAGATGCTTTGAGAGAGGAAACAGTGGAAAAGTAGTCTCTTCTGGGATTCAGATGAGTTGCCTGGATATTTACTAAACATTTATGTGTGTGTGTGTTTTAAATGTAAGCACACATATTTTCTATATACACTGCATACCCATAGAAGCATATGTTTTAGAATGTGTCATTTCTAAAGAAAGGACTATTTCAAAATGAGATTTGGCCGTTATGTTCTATGGTTGATGTGGACTCATATGTCTGGATGCCAAACCAGAGTTTATCATGAAAAGACCAAGGACAGTGGCTGGGCTTCGGATCAGGGGCTGGTCATTTGCCCTTGTCCTATCTGTGTTGGTTCGACTCCAATCACATGTTTCGCTAGGTAACTGAAAAAACAGGTTTGAGCCCTCATGTGAACGGAATGAATGTGCTTGATTCTACTTGGAATGTTTTTCATAATTATTTTAAGTGATGACTTGATTCTTACTTGTGCTTATTCTTTTTAAAAGTATTAGAAAGGAAGATATCTACACGACAAAGTAGAGAGGAGCTGATAAGAAGGGGAGTTCTTAAGGAATTGCCTGATCAAGGTGAGGAAATTAATCATACATGTAAAATAATTTGATCCTTCATTCTTGGGTCTTACTTTCATTGTCTTTTGAAATTTAAAACGATCATGGTCTTTGTCAGATAAAGCAGTGAGTAATGTACTCCAAAACCTTGCTTCCTTTCATAATGCCTTTGTGGGTTACAGAGAATCTGAAGTATTATAAAAAAGAAATCTAGTGATTTTTTTGGTGAATCTGTCACCCTGTCACTGTAAACCCAAAGCTCTACAAAGGTACATCCAAGGCTATTGATACAAATGAGACATCAATGCTTATGTGACTTCTCTTCTTTGTTCTTGAGCTTCCCTCTTTCTATTCATATTAAACTTAATGGTTTGAGGAAATGCAGAGTTTTAGCTTGATTCATGCCTTATCTGTTTCCTAAGGCTACCAGTAAAAGAAAAGAGAGCAGAGAAATGACAAGCATACCTCTTGTCCTTCATTATCTATGATATACTCCAATATACAATCAGTGAAGCATGAAGGGGCCAATGAAATTAATCTGCTTTCTGCATTATCTCAAGATTTTTCCATTACGGTTCTTTTTTTCTTTCTCTGCATCTAGTTGCCTCTCAACTTTTCACTAATAATGATTATTTCTGAGTTTTTATTTCCTACCTCTGATCTTTTTCTCTTTTTCCTCTATCCTCCCAAGGAGGAATCTTGCTAAGAAAAGGCAAGGAGCAGTTAGAAACTGAGATTGATCCTCAAAAGAAGACACCAACATTGGTTTTTCTTCAAGTAAATAATGCCAGTTGATTTTCATCACTCCCACTACTATTACAACTAAAGGATATTTTGTTGCAACGTTGTGGGTTTATCTCATGCCTCCGTCCCATAAACGTTTACTGGGATAAAGTATTGTTATTGTACTTTTATAGGAACAAATAAAATCTATTAATTTGGAATTGAAATAATAATGCCTCTCTTTTCCTGATATGTGTGTTCCTTGCAAAGAGCTAAACATTTTTTGGCATTCACTATTTATAAATCAAAAGGACATACTTTTTCAGCATCTAACTCCAGAGTTAGAGTTAGAGTTAATAAGCTGGGAAATGTTTTACTGTTTTACTCCTGCTTCAAAGAAAATAGGGAAATCTGGAGTGAATAATGCCATTTTTCTTGAGCCCTTACAATTTTAGATATTTTACTTCAATGTCTGGCCTGTCAAACTCTTTTCACTCTATGAATAAATTTTATATCATCCCTATTTTTTCTGTTACCCTGAAGCTATTTATTTTCTGTTTGGGACTTCCTAAAATAAAAAATATGCATTTCTACCTTTTTTAACTTAAGGCAGGCTGGCAGTATCAAAACTCATCTCCTGTTCAATCTCTATAGAGAAATTTTATGTCTACTGAAAGCTTAACACTGAGCCATCAGTTCTATGGAGTGGGCCAATGCATTTGTTTAGTATCCTTTATTTGGAAATGCTTTTTAAAAAGAAAGAGAAAAATCTATTTTTCAAACTGTGAATGAGTTTTGAGGTAGAGGTTAAAGGCCCGTTTTTTCTCATTAAAAATTATAGGAGACGGGCACAGTGGCTCACGCCTATAATCCCAGCACTTTTGTAGGCTGAGGTGAGAGAATTGCCTTAGCCCGCAGGTTCAAGACCAGCCTGGGCAACTTGGCAAGACCTCATCTCTACAATAAATCAAATAATTAGCCGGGCATGCCTGTAGTTGCAGCTACTTGGAAAGCTGAGGCGGAAGGATCGCCTGAGCCCAACAGGTCGAGGCTGCAGTGACCGGGAGTGTGCTACTGCCCTCCAGCCTAGGTGACAGAGTAAGACTCCAACGCAAAAAAAAAAAAAAAAAAAAATTACAGATACAAAAAGAGTTCCTTTTTCTAAAAACAAGTAGTAGTGGACAATTTAAAGAAATGCTTACTATTGCTTGGTTTTTGTTCTGCCTAATTTTTTTAACTAGTTACATCATAGATTACAATTTCTTGGGCCAATTTACTTCCCAGAAATCTGACTCTTTTTATTTGTCCTTTATGACTGAACATTAAAAGTTTTAAACATAAAAGAATAAAACAATTAACTGAAATATAATAGGTTGGATGTTAACTACTGAATTTTACTTTCCACCTTTTGTGCAGACCCTATATAGAACATCAGAAATTACCTTAATAGTGAAAGTTCCTGAGCATGGCTATTGTAAATGGAGTCCTTCCCCTTTGCAGCTGAGAGCCAGGGAAAATAGTTTTCTGTCAATTTTCCAAAAACATTATCTTGAGAATTTTGGTCTAAGAGATTGGAAACTGCTTTTCTTGGTAGCAACCTCCTCTCTGCTGCCAATGAAGAGTCATTCTTTGCCTTGATCTTCTTGACCTTACCTCAGCTCTGACAGTTCCTGTCAATCAAGCTCTTTACTCAGTGAACCAGGTAGACTTTTTAAGTCCCTCCAGCTACCCTGGGTTTGACCTCATCCCATCTTGTCCCATACCCTCAGTCCTAGCTATTATTATTTTTCCTTTTAGATTATCTTTTTTACACCAAGACACGTCTTCAATCTAAAAGTTTGGTGATCTGTCTTCTCTTCTGAGAAGTCCAAGACCAAGTTTGCTTCTTGCCTCTGCTTCTTTCCCTTTGCTTTTCCCTTCGCTTTTGAAAACAGGAGGGCATGGAAGTGTTTTTGCCTGTCTGACATCCTGCTTGCTTTTTCTCTCATCCTGTACTTTTAACTTTCACCTTTTTAGCCACATAAGATTTTTTTCTTTTTGTCTCTCTTCTTCCTTTAATTATTTTCCCAGTACACCTGTTTACCAGAAAGAGGTAAACTCTTTAAAAATACTCTCATACTCCTGATTTAACTAGTTGCTTGTTTGCGCTTTCTCATTTTGCTTGAAGCTTACCTATGTTCTGAGTTTTCTTTTTCCTTTGCATACAGATGATGCCATGAGACTTGCTGGTCTGGGTCTCCTTCTGTCACCTGCCACCTAGCTCCACATCTTCTCTTGCCATCCTTTGCTGTGCATCTATTTTGCTTATATACATAGAATATATCAAGGACTTAATTCCACAGCAACTTTCTTAACACATAGTACTAGAAAACCTTTTCAATACACACACCAATTAATAATGTCAACTCTCCTCTGTTTTGTTCTCGAATTCTATATTTATCACAAACATATCTCTTTTTCCTACAGTTATTTTCATATGCACTGTTTTATTTCATGCCTCAAAGTAAGTATCCTTCCACATTGCTGACTATTTCTATCAGATGATCCAGTCTCTTTTTGTGCCACAACTATTTAATTTACTCTCTAGCTTTTTCTAATTTTTAAAAATCAGTTATTTGACAGACTAAATAATTTTAGTATAATAATTCTTCAAATAGAATTAAATTGATATTAACATGACTTCAACATATTTTTATTACCAATTAAAGTAAAAAAAAGAAATTTATATTTTAATTACCTAAACTCTGAGGATTTTTATATAAAGAAGTGTTTTTCTATGTTGTTTGGAATTTTTTATTCTTCATTTTTGTTTTATCTGAATGTATGTTATTCCTCTCCTTTTTTTTCCAGCTAATTTCTTGGGAGTCTTTTGAGTTCTTTTTGGTTTGTCCTACAGTTTTTTGAAAACTCTTAACTTAATTTTATTGAATAGTCAAGGTTTATTTGCAATGCGTTGCCTTCAGTTTTTGTCTATTTTAGTTTTCTGTGGAACTTGATTATGGGCTCTTGCAAGTTATATGACTAAGCAACAATTGCTTTTTCATTCTGAACGTGACATAATTTCATAATATGGGTTTTACTTATTAAAATGGCATGCCTTTTTTTGTTGTTGTTGAGAAGCCAAATGGACTTTATTTATTGTTGATTCAAAGCAATTCAGTCACATTTAATGAAAATTTGTGACATGGGGCTGGGCGTGGTGGATCATGCCTGTAATCCGAGAACTTTGGGAGGCCAGGGCAGGAGGGTTGCTTGAGGCCAGGAGTTTAAGACTAGCCTGGGAAACAGAGGGAGAGCTTATCTCTACAAAAAAATCAAAAATTAGCCAGGTATAGTGGCACACACCTATAGTCCTGGCTACTCAGGAAGCTGAGGCGAGAAAATCACATGAGCCTAGGAATTAGAGGCTGCAGTGAACTGTGATTGTGCCACTGCACTCCAGCCTGGGTGACAGAGAGAGATACCAGCTCGAAAAGATAAAATTTGGGAAATGCTCTCTGTTTTTTGATCGCCAGTGTAAGATTAACCAAAAATTCCATAGAAACAGCTCTAAGCATGCATTTCCTCAAGTTTGCTAAGTCAGAACTCCAATTCATTAACTTTTCTTTTACAGCAGTAGCAAAGCCTCCCGAATTTTTCCAAATATGAAGTAGGGTTAATCTTTTTAAGTATCACTGTATTAAAAGTTTCTGCAAAATCTCATTCACTTTAGAAACCTCCAGGAATTATGAAAATTCAAGGGTTAAAAACTAGTTACTTATGATTTAGAGATTATGTTCAAAATTCTTTTTTCAACTGTGATTTTTAAAAATTCTTTTGTGATTATTTTTTATGTGTTTTTTTCTCTACTGTTTTTAAGTTATTATTAGGACAACTTAAGGACTTTTGGGTCAGTTATATATAATAATAACCTGGGTACATTTTACTCTTTTCATAAATAAAGAAATGAAAATAAAATTAGCTGGGCTCGGTGGCTCAGCCTGTAATCCCGCGCCTTTGGGAGGCTGAGGTGAGTGGATTGCCTGAGCCTGCGAGTGCAAGACCCGCTTGGGCAGCAAGACCTCATCTCTACAATAAATCAAAAATCAGCCGGGCGTGGTAGCGTGTGCCTGTAATTCCGGCTACTCGGAAGGCTGAGGCGGAAGGATCGCCGGAGCCCAGCAGGTCGAGGCTGCGGTGGCCGGGAGCAGCCACTGCACTCCAGTCTGGGCGACAGAGTGAGACTCCAACTCAAAAAAAAAAGAAAAGAAAATTAGCCTCGCTACCATCTTTTCCCTGAATATAGAGTGACGGTTATTGTGTGAAGTTTCACATCATATATTTAACATACTCTGGAACAGTGGTACTTGGAAATTTTCATATTCTCCCACTAATTGTTCATATGTGTAATTACATTTCTCATTATTTGTGTATTTGCATTCTCCTTGTGTTTTTGGTACTTGTTAAAAACGTTTATGCCATTTTTCAGATTATTCCTCTCACCATTCTGTTTCTGAATGACAAAGAAACACCTAGTATCGACTTCAACCAAACCTGAGCACTGGAGCAGAGGGACTCTGCTGCCCTGGGATTTTGTATAATTAGGATAATCATTCCTACAGTCTTGCAATGGCACATGGATATTCCCGCTATAATGGCTTTCTCCCAAGACTAAGGATTCTCTAGCTCATTTGTTTTGAATAAACTATTTGGTGAATCAGTGCAGGATGTTTTTGGTTCCCAGGGACTGAAATATGAACCCAAATCCTATGATCCTAGTAACTGGAAAATGTGTTTTTAAGAAAGCCATCAAGTTAGACATCTAGGTGTTTCTTTCCCATTTTAGATGGAGATGTAACAGTTAACTTTGAAAATTCAAACGGGCACATGATACCCATCGGAGAGGAATCTACCCGAGAGGAAAATGTAGTAAAGTCTGAAGAAGGTAATGGCTCTGTATCTGAAAAAACACCACCTCTGGAGGAAAAGGCAGAAGATCAGAAAGGTAACATAAAGAGAATCCCATATTATTTACTTTAGTACAGCTCAGAACCAGGTCTTAGGCTCTAAATAGTGACTCTAAAACCAGCAGAACCTATAGAGAAGAGCTTTACAAATACAAAGAAGAGAGAAACGGTAACTAGTGAAGAGAAATAGGATGGTTTTCTCAGGTAGATGCATCTGTTTTTATTATATAAGCATGGTATTTGCTTTTTTATTATTAATGAGGGCTAAATAAAGGGAATAAACAGAGGGAGTGTCCTCTTTATTAGCAATGTCTGGGAATACTATCCTTTTCTCTGGAGCTTTTTCTCAGGACCTTATAAAAAACAACAAATTCCAACATCTTTCTCTGCTGGGTTCGACCGGCACTTCTGCATGGCTCAACATGGAGAAATCTCAAAATCCACATGGCTCTTTGAACCCAGTACTTTCTCTCCCTCTTGGGAACTTGGCTGGTGGCATCTACACTCCCAATATCGTAGGTTCTAGACAATTCTAAGAGAGACCCAGGAATAGTTCTCAGAGATGCTAGGGACTTTGGTTGCTTTGCAAGAGCCTCTGCTCTGTGATTTGCCTGTACAATTAGAGATTTCAAAATGTGCCACAGGCAGTTACAAGGTTTCCTAAAGGCTCCGTTAGAGATCTTGGTTTCCAGAGTGAATATGCTTTGGCAGATTGACATACCTACTCAAATGTCTGTCAGAGACCCCCAGAACATTCACTAATTCCTGGTCACATATCAGTTACATCTCCATACACTGCTTTTATGTGCAGGGACCTTCAAGTCTCAAATAATATGCACACCTGAACTAAAACTCCCATAAGGAAAGGTTTTGTTGAGAAATTCTAGATGACTCCATGCAGCATAGTAAGGAATCCTTATGAAATAGACTATTTCCTATTTTATAATGTCTGCTCTGAATTGGTTGGCAAAATTTTGTCAAATCTAACTTGTGTTCTATAAGCATTTTGAAAATCCTTAGAAACTGATGAAAGTGAACTTCTCTTCCTCTTTTGACCCACATCCTCTAAAGACAAAGGGATCAGAAGAGTTATCCTTGATGGCCCTATTAAACACACCATTGTTTCTTAAAATCTTCTCTGGAAGTCCAGAACCATTTACTATTTGTATATGAATTAGCTTTTAAAAGTTTAAGGCTCAGGGGTTCACACCTGTAATCCTTCGGGAGGCTGAAGTGGGAGGATCCTTTCAGCTCAGGAGCTCAAGACCAGCCTGGGCAGTATAGTGAGTTCTCACCTCTACAAAATAAAAAATAAATTTTAAAAAAATTAGCTTGCACGCACCTGTAATCCCAGCTCCTAAGGAAGCTGAGGCGGAAGGATCACCTGAGCCCAAGCATTCAAGGCAGTGCTGAGCTGTGATCATGCCACCGCACTCCAACCTGGGCAGCAGATTGAGACTCCAACTTTATAACAAGAAAAAACTGTTTAGAAACCTATGTTAATAATCTGTTGAAAATTTATTATTTTGCTTTATTTCAGGGGCTTTACTTAACCTTGTTCCATTGAGGGACTCTGGTTAAGCTTATGAACACTGATTATGAGAAATTAACTAATACTTTTAGTGATATTATTTCTGGAACACGAAGAGAAAGTAGACTTGAATAAATTTTAGAGGGATTCAGTTGAAAGTATTGATGCAAGTCATGATGTTTTTTGTTTGTTCTTAAGTCTTGCTGTCCTGTCTCACCAAACTGTTAAATTTCAAGCCCATCTGTGATTTGTCCCTGGGACAGCCTTTCCACATTCATGAATTGCATCCTTCATTGTGTAACAGTGCCATCTCCCATCTCTAGTGCCTGGTCAGTTTGGGGTGTCCATCACTAAACTGGCCAGACTTCAAAGGAAGTATTTCCCTTATCAACCTAATAAAAAGTTGCTGACAGCTTTATGTGAATTAGCCAACAGGCCTTGATGTTCTAAAAAGAAGATAGCAAAGCTTCTAGGTCCGTGGAGGGTTGAGAGGTGTTTTTCTTGTCTTATTCACTCGGAGTTAGTACATTCAGTTCTCACTGGTCAGATAAGGCCCTAGAGAGCCTTTTGCTTGGCTAGTGGGTATCTGAGGAAATGGCAGTACAAGAAGGGCTGGCATGCTGCTAACAGGGCAATGTAGCTCCCTCCTGCCATGTGCATGGTACACACACAGGAGCCACGCGGGTTTGCCGTCTCCTCACAAGCTTCATGGATAACAAGGAGAAACAGTAGATACAGAAGCCACTTACTGAGACTAAAAGGAATCTCACTCATGACTATTCTTACTCTGTATTCTGTTAAATAGAAAATGCCTTATGAGCCAAGATAACAACTTATTTCTCTGAAAAGAAGACACAACTAAGTTCTGAAAAGCAACCCAAGATTCACTTTTGCCTCTGCTTCTCTTCTGGTCTCACTCCTTGTGTGAGGTCACTGCCATGCAAACCCACCATCTCATGATCTTAATTTACCCTTTATGTTGGAATGCCGTGCTTCCTTCTGTATTAAGCCACCATATTCAAGACCATTGTTTCATCTATTAACTGGTTATATGTGCAAAATCACATCATGTGCCTTTAAGGTTCTAGATACGTGGTATATCTCTTTATAAGACAGTACCTCAATACTTTAATATTTGAAACATTGTTGTCAGAGAAAGCAAAACAAATGGCAAGTGGTGTCCTTTGCACTCACTCTGTGGATAGGACCCACCAGGCCACGTGAGTGTTTTGGAGGCTCCTGAAGGCACTTGATTCTGTAGTTAGTGCAGTAGTCTCGGGTCTCATCTGCCTAGTACTGGAGCCTTCTTCCTTCAGGTCTTCAGAGCTCTTACCCTCCCATTACTCTTTCCCAGTATGTGCCCTTAAGTGTATAAGATAAAACTGGCCTGCTGTCTGTTTAATATAGCTTGATATTAAATATAAGAAATCTGAAAATCGATATAATTTGTCTTGAGTTATTATAAAGGGTTTTCAGTGAGGTCACGAGTGTTGAACACTTATTTGTTCCACAAATATTAATGAAGGTCTATCATGGCAAAGACTCCACTGGGGGCCAGTAGAAGAGTGGCACATGAAAAATGGTCTCTGCCCTAAGCAGGTCACAGGGTGAGACCAGAATGCAGCCAGGCAATTGCAATGCAAGATGCAAAGTACTGTGGAAGGCTTGTATACAGCAAGCCAGGGGAGCCTGCAGTGGGGACCAGCATTGGCTCTCAGAGGAAGATATTTTAAAAACTGAAGGAGACAAGAAGGAGGTAGTCAAATGAAGGAACGATGTTGGAGCAGAAGTGCGTTCTAGTAAGGCGAAGATCACGTGCAACTCCCGGGATTACTCTAAGTATTGTTGAACTCAGCCCTTCACGTGGCAGAAGGAGCTAAGCCTGGCAGTAGGAGAAACAGCTGTCTTCCAGCCTGTGATGCTGAGAAACATAACATCCTTATCAAGGCAGAATGACTAGGCAGCCCTGTCTTAACCTCCTCTTGAAATGATAACACTCCTACATGCTGTCAGTTTATAGTGTGTCTTTAGATCACATGGTAATAGAAATACAACTTGATCCAGTCCCTTACTCCCAGATGCAAGTAGAGAGCCTTTTTCTAATTTGTATATCAGTGACTCTTAGCCAATTAGTCACATTCATTGAATAGACGTGATGTTTAGAACATTATATTCGATCAGATACAAAATTTTGGACAAAAGGAACTTAAAACTTAGAAAAACATGCTATTTGCACACTCATGTGTGTGCGCGCACACACAGCTTAGGAATCACCAAAGTAGCAGACACTCACAGATAGTTGGTAGAGTTCAAAGAGTCAGAAGGAATTTTCTAACTCTACCAGGGCCATGCTCTCCAGAAAACCAGGAAGAAGTTGGTGTGCAGTGCATTCATTTTCTCCCAGTAGGGATTGTCATCGAATGAACCGTCTTCTCTTTCCCAAACCCAGAGACTGAATTCTTGGGGGTATAATTTTAGAATTTAAAACCTTAGGCAGAAAGAAAAAAGATCCCTCAGTGATATGCCATGAAGGGAGAGTGTAAGTCATGTATTATGAAAGAGAATAAAGGTACCAAGTGCTGCACTTCAGTGTGGCTCTTGCCATGGATATTATTGGTTGTCATCTCCATACATTACAGTATTATGCTAGGGGCTAAAGCGACAAAGATGTTATTAAACAGTAGACCTCTAACCCATGTCAAAAATCTGACAAGTCAGTGTATATATATATCAACTTGTGTCATTCTCAACCCTGACTGACTTTTTTGATTAGCTGACCTAATTCAGACCAGCTGGGTTAGGAAGGCTACTACTCTATTAAAAATGGTAAGCAGCTTCATTGAGGAGACAAGATGCATAAACAGAAAGGCAAAAATACAATGTAGCCTCCAAGAAATTTTGAGTAAGTGGCTCATACAATAAGACCTAGTAAGTTCAGAGGCAGGAGAGGTCAGTCTGGGCTGCAGTCTGGAAGCGTTTTCACAGCTAATGCAGGATCAAAGGTGAACTTTAAAAGAAAGGTTTTATTAGCCAGGTGCTGTGTCTCATGCCTGTAATCCCAGCACTTTGGAGGCCGAGGTAGGAGATTATGTAAGCCCTGTAGTTCAAAACCAGCCTGGGTGACAAGAGACTTCATCTCTGTTTAAATAGATAAAAATAAATAAAGTTTTATTGATTACCTATTGTAACTTTAGTCACTCTTATGGTAAATACATATATCTAGTTATATATATATGAATATGAATTGATGGAGAATGTGGTAAAAAAAAAAGAGAAGCCCACACTTCACGCTCACTAGAATAAGAAGCAAAATAATAAAAATAACAATAAAATGTGATCTATTTCAATATTGAAACCCTTTCTTGGTCATTCGATAATGGGAGAACATACTCAATTAAGGCTTGGTCTTGTCTTAACACTGTCTTTTGCTTTTTACTGTGCCCTGTTTTTAAAGAAATGCTGCTTAGTTCTTTGGACCAGAACCCGTATTCTAGTTTATTTTCATTTCAATCAGCCACTATTAGAAAGAATATGGATGTAAATATATGAATGAACCGTCAGCATCTCCACTTTCTTTTGCTCATGAGAGACTAATAATATTTCTCCTCCAGTCATGCAAAAAGCTTGTAAGAGACGTCTGTCCTCACGTATGAGTTTTTTGTGTGAATTTTAAACTTTGTCTTCCTGAAACTATGATTTGTGTTTACATTACGAAACAAAACTAAATATTTTTTTTTTTTCCTCTGTACCCCCTGTACCTATAATCATGATGCTGTCTAAAAAGGACAGAAAAGGTTGTGGAACTACAAGCTGCCAACGTTCTGGGGAGAGCTTGAGAAAATTTTACTAGTAGGGAATTGTTCATTATTCAGCACATTGTGTCTGAGGTAGAAGAATCTCCAGTCTCCCTTAGCTTAAAAAATAATTGTTTTTTGACCAAAAATAGCTGAGCTCAAATCCCTTTCAGGTTGTTTGGGCTTGAGTTCTCAAAGGTAACTGTGAGCCCAGTGGTTGATGCAGTTCAGTCCTCACTCCCATGGCAGTAGTTGTTACACGCTCATCTGCCATCTGCCACTCTCCAGGGACCTTCAACTTTGTTCAGTTGTTACATTTGTTCAATTTAAATTTAGCACTTAATGCCCAAGTCATCATCCAGCAACCACAGATTTGAGGCTGGAACCGAGGCCCCTGACCTGTAGACATTCACATTCAATATAACTTCGTCAAAGGGGTATTATGCAACCCCATCTTATCAAAGGAGGGATTGATGTATCTGGACAACGCACCCTGGTTTGTCTCTCAGACTTGGCTGTTACCCCAAACTTTGCTGTCCGGGTGAAGAACTCCATGCTGGTTCCCAAGGGTCAAGCAGCACAAGTTTTGTGTCACTGTTGTTATGTGTCTTACTCCTCGTATTTACATGGTGTTTGTCTGTATCTGTCTACTTCTGTTCACTTTCTCATTTATAGAGAACACTGAAAACCACTCTGAAACACCGGCAGCTCCTGCTCTACTTCCTTCACCTCCTCCTAAGCCTAAACCCAAACTTAAACCCAAAAAATCACCTGTGCCTCCAAAAGGGGCCACTGCTGGGGCCAGCCACAAAGGTGACGAAGTGCCTCATGTTAAAAAAAATACTATCAAGGCTCCTGGTAAGCAGGCCCCCATCCCTCCACCTAAGCCAACAGGCCGAAACACGACCCGAGAGGCTGGTGAGTATGCCCCCAGTGCCCTGTGGGGTTGCATCTAGGGTGCTTGGCTCTGGGTTGGGGCTAATTGTTTCTTCTAGGCGTGGTTGTCTTTTGGTGTCATAGAACGTCATACTAGAGGATTCAGCTTGAATGCAAAGAACATCCTTTGTTGCTAGCTACCAAAGGAGGAATGTCAACTAGCTGACTGGCTCACCTCATTAGTTTTTGGGTGTCTATACCTCTTTTGTCTTGATATCCATTATCTGCCCATGACACCCAGTTAAAGGTCTCATAATGAAAGACAGTGAGCTGATGACAACATTATTTAGAGATTGACTGACTATTTGCCTATGTGAATTTATGGTAGCTTTCTGACTTGTGCTTTCTTTCAAAATATCGTAGGTTTACATATAAAATTGTGATACTTACATCTTTGCCATGTTTGCTGAAAGTTAATGTGTTAAATCTTCAGCATTCATGGTCATTTCCCTTCTGATAAATGTCAAAAGGTTCATATCATTTGTTTCACCTCCACCCAATCATTTTCTACTATCGTCAGAACTATTTCAGCCGAATTTAGTGTTACCCACTCAGTGCTACATCCCTTCCCTGTAGACTTCAGCATGTCATAAGGCAAACCATCCTGGTGTGGTGTGGTTACAAGTTGCTATCACAAATCACCAGTGGGTGTTTGAGTGACCCACGATAACTTCATGCCATGTGTATCCAGCTTTCCCTTCCAATCAGATATGCTTAGTCCTAAGTGAAACTGAAGTGGAATATAGATGCCTACTATGTGGTCTAACTTTTAAAAGTCTAAGTGCTCAGTGACTTTTCCCATGAACATGTGCATAAAAATTCCGTGCCATAACAAGTCTTATTTTCCTTGAAATCAGCAGTAAATTTCTAGCAACTATCAGGGTTTGCCTTGTTGTTGATCTCTTCCCCCTTATAATCTATACCCATAATGCTCACATTCAGAGAGTGGTTTTGTTGTCAGTATAACAGATCTGTGAATGCAAATAGATGTCTCTCTCCCTGTGTTCCTCTCTTCCTGCCTTTGACCTTTAGCGACTGGGTCGCTTCTAATAAGCTTTAAAATGAACTATCTCAGAATGATCTGTCAGCAGTGCCTCAGGGCCATTTCCTCAGAGACCAGCTGTCCTCACCCATCAGCCTCTGTTCTTGTTGGGATCTGTGCGTTCCCAGACTACCTAGCAAACCCTGGGAGCGGTGCTTGAAGTGAGGCAGGCACTGATCTACTTCTTAAAGAACAGCCCCAAACTACGACTCTGTCATTAAGAATTAAGATTCTGTCCTGCACATACTCCCCCACTTCCTCATTCCCCACACGGTAACATCTCCCTCTGAAATAGACTTGCTTGGGCTGTCTCTTTCTTTCGGAAGAAAACAGATGATTAATGCAGAGACAGGGGACAGCTATCATGAGAGATTTTTAGTTGCTTCTAGATATTGTACTTGAAGATTTATGTATACTCTCGTGATGTTCCTAAGAGAATAGTACAGTCATTTTATTCATTGTATTTGAAGGGGCCCAGCAGGCCCTTAGTGAAAATAAGAATTGGATTTTTCAGGGGCTGTCACCAAGAAACAGGGTTGCATTGAAATACACCAACAAGTCCATTGTGCAGGGATCCTTTTTTATCAAATATTGATAATACTCCTCCAGAATCCTACTGTATGTAACCATTTAGAACTTTCTGCATGGTTTTTATTTGAGTAATGTAAAACTTCTGGAAAAGTTAGTTCAAATGCAGCTCTTGATGTTCAGTCCAGTTTTAAGTTCTTAAAACAGCAGTCAGTTAAGATTCTTCCTCTGTTATTGTTAGTAGAGACCGCCATCGTACCAGATATCGGTTTAAAATATTTAACTGCTTTGCCAAGGAAGCGAGGTTACATGTCTCTTATTTTTTTCTTTCTCATTGTTACACACTATTAACAACAAAAGCACTTAACCGAGGAGAGGTGGCCTTTCCTTTTTTTTTTTTTTTTTTTTTTAATCATGGCCTTCATTCAAGGTCACTTAAGCAACATGGTTGATTTCAGCACAGGTCTGTCATTTTAGAAGATTCTTGAAAAAAATATAACATGGCTTGAATTTGCACTCTGGGCATTGACAAAATTATTTTTTGCCTTAAGCCAGGCTAAATTTAACTTTTCTGTTAGAGAAGAAATAATTTTTTTTAAAAAAATTGTTAGAATTGATATGTGGAAGGGATTCTCGCTTCACTTCCCTACGAAAGTAATTATTGTTCATCTCTTAACCCTCTCAGTTGACTTCAACAAATTATAGCCGGAGGTAAGTTGCAATAACATCTGTATGCAATATGGATTGGCTTCACAATACCAACAAGATAGTTTTGAATAGTTCTGTGAACAGAGTTTAACCCCTCATGAAAAAGAAGGAACATACAGCAATACAACAGAAGAAACAATCAGGAGAAATGTATAGACAATAAAAGTCATGAAACAAAGAGTATTTGCATAGGAGTTTAAATTCATTTCCTAAGATGACAAAGAAAAAAATTGTTAACATTTTTTTTTTCTGAAACTAGTTTGGTTAAAGACAGCCCTTCCAGAAGTAGGCAAATATATTCCATGGTAATCCTTTTGTTTCTTCTTCTTTTTTTTTTTTTTTTTTTTTTTTTGAGTCAGAGTCTGATTTCATTGCCCAGGCTGGAGTACAGTGGCATACTCACGGTCACCCCAGTGTCAACCCGCTCAGCCTTCCAAGTAGCTGGAACAATCGGTGTGTGCTAATTTTTTGACATATTTGTAGAGATGAGATCTCACCAAGTTGCCTTGACTGGTCTCGAACCCACGGGCTCAGGCAATCCTTTCGCCTTGGCCTCCTGAAGTGCTGGGGCTACAGGCTTGAGCCCCAGCACTGGCGATCCTTTTATTTCTTAGAAAATAAGCATTAAGGAAGATTACATTTGTGAAGGTGGGATCGGAAGACCTGAGAATGATATTCTTTCCCTTCACATGATTTAAGTGCTACCCATGTAAATATTTTTTGTAAAAAAAAATAAGGTTTTTCTGCCTTTTGATGTGTTGAAGGGAGCGTGTCCTTCCTGTGTGGCCGTGTGTTTTCCCTCCACACCATCTCTGCTACAGATGGAAGTGCAGGCCAGTATGGCGAGCTTCCCTCTCTACAACTTTGGGAACAGCTGGGTTGGACTCTATGCTCTGAGCAGTAGAATGAGTGATTTTGCTTTTGACCCAGAAAGGAACTGAGTATATACCCCAGCCTCTTTTGAATGTGGTCCACCACTCCATTCCCAGAAAGACATCCTAGAACAGGTATAATGTGTAATGAACCAAGCTGTGTACTACACCCAGTTAGCTGCTGGTGTCTGTCCTCTCACACCAGGACTTTCCTTCTTCAGAGCATACAAGGATTCTTCAGCTTACCTATAGGACAAGGAACTGAGGATTTTTCCCGTTGGCTGGCCCACGGGACTAGGAAAGGCAGAAGGGGGGGGGGGGGGCTCTTGTCCCTTAGAGTTCTGCCATAAGCATGACTTTCTCACTCCTATATTGAAGGAAGGGAGGGAGCAGAAAATAATCATTATGATTGTTAGCCCATTTTCTTTCGTTCATTTATTCAACACATTTTAAAAGTTACATTTTAAATATCATCGACAATTACAACTTGTTTATTTTTAAAAAGCATTGTATTCTTTGATTTTTTAATGCAAAATCTCTCTATTGTAGCTGGTTCCTCTCATTCAAAAAAACCAACTGGCTCCAAAGCATCAGCCTCCCCGTCTACTTCATCCACCTCATCTCGTCCCAAAGCTTCAAAGGAGACAGTTTCTAGCAAAATGGGGACAGCGGGGACCACAAAGGGCAAGAAAAAAGCTGGCAAGCAGCCAACAACTTCTCGCCTGTCCTCGGACACAACCACTTCTGGCACACCCGACCTTAAAGGAGAGCCTTCGGAGACCAGAGTGGAGAGTCTCAAACCTGAGCAGACTGTCCCTGGGGCTGAGGAGCAGAACACAGGCAAATCCAAGTGTGTAGTCCCTCCACCCCCTGTGGCTCCACCACCTTCTCCCCCCACCCCTCCTCGCCCTCTTGAGGATCAGTGCATTATCGCCTCAGACACTCCAGTTGTCCTGGTCAGCATTGGAGCTGACCCACCCGTCTCTGCCTTAGACCCAAGTCAGCTTCTTTGGACTGAAGAGCCTACGAACAGAACCACTGTCCCCTCAGGCAATGGCTTAAGTGTTAGCAGAGAAAACGCAAAATGGTGAGTTGGAGTGCAAACCCCGTATTTTATCCAAGAACTAAAGATTACTGGCATATTCTGTTGGAAATGAAGGAACCTAGTTTGCTTTTTTTTATTTTTTAATCTACTGACTGTTAGGTAAGGATACATGCAATCCAGGCATTGGTTTTTCAGAGCTCTGACCTGGAAAAGCCTAGGGGACTGGAAGAAATACTTTAGTGATGCCGATAGATACCACCTGAGACCTGTGGTTTTTCAAGGACATTTAAGACCTGCTTGAGCACTGCTTAGCAGTCCTCAGTCCCCTTCCCTTTCCTTACAGTGCTTATTTTAAATCTTTACTACTTGGGTCCAGACTGTTCACCCACTCCTGCCCACCCTTATGGTAGCAAGTTACTTTGTCTTCTCCTTCTCCAAGAATGTAAAGACCATTAAATTTCAACTCCTATTTCTCCAGCCATAGAGTGGCCCCCTTTCTTGTTCCTTTAATTCCCCACATAGCTCAAATATTACCTCCTCTGTGAAGCCTCCCAGTACTTTTTTTTTTTTTTGAGTTGGAGTCTCACTCTGTTGCCCAGACTGGAGTGCAGTGGCTGCTCCTGGCCACCGCAGCCTCGACCTGCTGGGTTCCCGCGATCCTTGCGCCTCAGCCTTCCAAGTAGCTGGAACTACAGGCGTGTGCTACCACACCCGGCTGATTTTTTTATTTATTGTAGAGATGAGGTCTCGCCAAGTTGCCCAGGCGGGTCTCGAACCCGCTAGCTCAGGCAATCCACTCACCTCAGCCTCCCAAGGCACGGGATTACAGACTGAGCCACCGAACCCAGCTTCCTCCCAGTACTTCTAAATAGATTTGGTATTGTGTCTGCTATACTTGGACAACTCTTTTTTTTTTCCTGCCTGTGGGACAGAACCAGCCAACGTGTCTTATTTTTTCCATGTCCCCAGCAACCAACTTAGAATCTGGTTTGCTGTGGGCACCCAAGAGATGCTCATTGAATTGTTGAATGAAAACGAAATGTGAGTTGTGATGGCTATAGGAAAAGTCAGTTTACTTCAACATAGTAGAAGCAGTGTTAAAGATAAGATGACCCTGATGCTAGATTTTATAAATAGAATATGATGGAAGATCAAAGATAGTTGTCAGATAGTCTTAGTTTCATTTGGGAAAGTAACTAAATAAAATGGGCCAAGGAACTTGATGTGACCTCATCATTATCTAGTTTGTAAGCTAGCTGCCCTATCAATACCCAGTTGCCCAAGCCAGAGAGACCTGAGGTTCATCCTAGGGTCCACATTCTCCTTCATTCTTTGCATCTTATTACTCACGGAGTGTTATAAATATTCTACTTGTAGGCAAATAAAACATGGTAGCCCTCCTGTCACACAGGTATGAAGGGAGGGCTGCCAGAGTATAGTAGACACAATTATGAATTCTGTCTACGGAAGTCTTGGAGTTCTTGAATCCAGTTTCTTTTCGCCTGTGTCTGAGAATAAAATCTGTATTCACTCTTCAGATCATTTAAAAAGTTCTCTTTCCCAAAAAAATCTGTCATGCTAGACTTAAAAAAAATTATTACACTGATTAGGCTGGTTTTTATCAAGAGACTAAAATATCTACTTTAATTATTTAATTGCTAATAATAATAACCTTCATTTATTGAATACTTATTTAATGTCAGTAACTAAGAACGGCACATGTGTTATCATTTAATTTACAGACATCTTCCCCAAAGTATACCTGTTTTATAGATAAGAGAATTGCCACTGAAAGAGGTAAAATGGTTTGCCAAGACTGCCTTGTTAGCAGTGGCAGCCAGAATGCAACTAAATTATATGCTCTGAATAATTTTATGTCTTCCAGAGCAATTGCTTCTACTTCCACTGCTTTTTCTTTTCTGTTCCATGTTTCTTTGTTTCTCTTTATATCATTTTTAGCACCATTATTTGAAGGAAAGTCAAGAAAAGATAAATGCCAAATTACAAATTAATTTATTTGTTTGACATTTTAATAAAAGATATGAAAAAGGAAGATATTGGAGTGAATGGTTATGGTGCTTGCATTAGTCCATTTTGTGTTGCTATAACAGATTTTCTGAGACTGTGTAATCCATAACAAATTTATTGGTTTACAGTTCTGGGGGCTGGGAAGTCCAAGATCAAGGCATCGGCGTTTGACAAGAACATCCTTGCCTTCTCATCATGTAGCAGAAGGTCCAAGGGCAAAGAGCCTAAAAGAGTGAACCCACTTCTATGAACTCTTTATAAAACATATTAAACTCCTTCCATTAGACCCCATCTCTCAACACTGTCCCATTGGGGATTAAGTTTTCAACACATGAATTCTGGGGGATGCATTCAAGCCACAGTAGTGTCGTTAATACTTCCACCATACAGCACATGCCTTCTTTTAAGTACAGTATTTTCCAGCATTGCAGTCACTTCCTGCCTTTAGAACTGAGCATTTAATTTGTAGCATATATTTTTTGTTTGCCTTTTCAGTGCTGGGCAATGTACTAAGCACCAAAGATAGAAGAGTGAGCAAGACAGGCTAGTTAAGAGTAGTTTTTACCAAAATGTTGTCTGACATGCCCATACATGTTAATAACATAACACCTGGATTTTGAGAAATAAGTTGAATATATGAGTTTATTGTTCCATATATGAAAGAACAAGGTGCATCATACGAAATGCTTAAATAGATAATCTTAAGCATTCAGATAACTAACATTTAAAGGTAATTTGACTTTGTCTAGTTCATTTCCACAAACATTTAGGGAGCACATTTTATTGTGCTAAGCTCCACACTGTATGCTGGAGGTTTAATATCAGTCTTTAACCTGAGTATGTAAAGAATTGTCAGACAAAATAGGTAAGTATCTGTTCTCCATTTCTCCTGGAACTGTAATCAGAAGGAATGAACTTAGAACATCATTGGACACTGAGGATACTTATAAAAGATTTTCCTGTCAATCAGGGTAGTTAGAATGCTCTCCTAGAAGAGGTCACAGAGATTCTCTTCTCTGTATATTCTTCAGAACTTAAAATTTCAATTAAAGATCATCCTTCAGGGATAGTTTCTGTTTGCTCTTGAGTTAATGAACCTAGAGTAAGTTGTCTGTCAGATTTCCTTCCAAATTATTTGTTTTTCAGGTAGATATTTTAATTAGAATTTCTGGCTCTTAGTCACTTGCTTTACTTAGAACTCTCACAGAGTTATGTTTAGTCAACTAATGTGTGAAAATCTTGTCATTTTATGAAGAGACTTCTGTTTGGAATACAAATACCAAAACTTTAAAGAAGGCAAGTGGCTATGTATAAAAATACCTACCTCTATTTCCATATTGCAGAGTTCTAACGATCTGGGAGGCTTCCATTCATTGGCAGCTTCATCAATAATATGTACGTCTGGTATAATGTAGGGCAGAAACTAATAAGCCCAGTTGGAGACCATATCCAAAGGTGTCTCTGTTCAGTTTATTTCCACAAATATTAACAGAATGCACTATATTGTCCAATATGCTCAAAAATCCTAGGGAAGCAGCTGAGAGCTAAGTCATGAATTGGTTGATTATAAATTTGGAGTGTATGTAATATTAAATATAACTTATATGAATGTACCTCCTCATATTAAGTATAAAATATAATCTAATATGCCATTTAATAGGTAGAGTAAGAGTCTTCGCTCTGTGTCCCGGATTGGAATGCTGCCTTAGTTGTACAACTCACTCATGGCCTTCTTTGGTTCCATGAACCACAAACTATCTACCCTCCTTGTGCTATAGAGCTTGTAAGTTGTAAATGTACATTGACCTCTTCGAAAACTGCAAAGCATTATAAAATACAAATGATGAGGTTTAAATTATAATCAATATTAAAATAAAGGCCAGGCATGGTGGCTTACACCTATAATCCCAGGGCTTTGGGAGGCTGAGGCAGGAGGATTGCTTGAGCTCAGGGATTCAAGATCAGTCTGGGTAACATAGCGAGACCTCATCTCTACAAAAAATAAAAATAAAAAAATAAGCCAAGTATGCTGTTGCCCGCCTGTGGTCCCAGCTACTCAGGAGGCTGAGGCAGAAGGATTACCTGAGCCCAGGAGGTAGAGGCTGCAATGAGCCACGAGCATGCCACTGCACTCCAGCCTGGACAACAGTGAGACCCTGACTCAACTAAAAAAAATAATAAATTAGTGAACAATGACACAAACAAATAAAGGACTCATTTCTCAATTAGCTTTTGTTCTGTTACCCAGAATGTATTATTAATTGGCATATCTTTTAAACAAGCTGCAGTATCCATAATGACAGACTATTCAAACAAGAGTGGCTTTCAGTGGCAGCTGACTAAAAATCCAAACTGTGAGAAAGTTTTTTTTATTAAAATAGATCTTCTCTTATTTAAGATAAGCTTTCGGTGCTTTCTCAAAAAATTAAACACAGAATGACTGTATGATTCAGCACTTCCATTTCTGTGTATATAGCCAAAATAATTAAAAGCAGAGATTGAAGTTTGCACATCAGTGCTCATGGCAGCATTATTCACAATAACCAAAAGGTAGAAATAACCCAGGTGTCCATTGACTGATGAATGGATGGACAAAATGTGACATACACATACAGCAGAATATCATTCAGCATTAAAAAAGGAAGCTAGTTCTCACACATGCTATCCAACATGGGTGAACCTTGAAGACATTATGGTAAGTGAAGTAAGTCAAGTACAAAAGGACAAACATTGTATAATTTCACTTATATGAGGTATTTAGAATAGTCAAATTCATAGAGACAGAAAGTAGAATGGTGGTTGTCAAGGACTGTGGGAAGGGGTTATGGAGAGTTATTTAATGGGTACAGAGTTTCAGTTTGGGAAGATGAAAAGTTCTGGAGATGGATAGTGGTGACGGTTACACAATAATGTGAATGTACCTAATGCCACTGAGCTGTACACTTGAAAATGGTTAAAAAGGCAAATTTCGTGGTATATATATTTTTATACAATAAAAAAGGAGATGTCATGTTTCTCTTTGAAAACAAGAATTTAGTTTGTTGCATTTTTCTAATAAGCAAAAAGTAGACAATTTTATGAGTGCTTAGGCTTATAACTACAAAGTAGAATTTTAAATAGTTCATATTCTGTTAAAATTTGCCTGTGCTCATTATTCAAAGAACTTTTTATCTTCTGCATCTTAAAATGAAGATTAAATTGTTTTTGGTATGATATATATATTTTTTGAGTTGGGATCTCACTCTGTTGCCCAGATTAGAGTACAAAGGCACAATCATGGCTCACCGCAGCCTCAACTATCTGGACTCAAGTGATCCTTCTGCTCCAGCCTCCCAAGTAGCTGGAACTACTACGGGCATGCGCCACCATGCCCAACTAATTTTTTAAATGTTTTTGCAGAGACAGGGTCTCACTATGTTGCCCACACTGGTCTCAAACTCCTGGGATCAAGCAGTCGTCCCATCTCAACTTCCCAAATTGCTGGGGTTACAGGCTTGAGCCACTGTGCTCAATTGGTATGATAAGTTTTTGGTGTAAACTAGTGAATATTTTTTATTCTAGTTTTTGAAAATTGGCAAACTTTGTATATTTATAGTAACTCTTTAACTAGAGACTTACTAGTTACTAAACTAAATAATGGAAAATTATTGCATTCTTGCAAATTATCTTTCTTATAAATAGTTCATTTAACGTTCACACTTTCTGTTTCATATTGTTACTATAGTCCTACAAGACACAGCTTTACAAATGAAGAAATGAGGCCGGGCTCTGTGGCTCAGCCTGTAATCCCAGCACTTTGGGAGGCCAAGGAGAGTGAATTGCCCTAGTCCGCAAGTTTGAGACTAGCCCGGGCAACTTGGCGAGACCTTGTTTCTATAATAAGTCAAAAATTAGCCGGGCGTGGTAGCGCACACCTGTAGTTCCGGCTACTTGGAAGGCTGAGGCAGAAGGATTGTCGGAGCCCAGCAGGTCAATGCTGAGTCGTGAGTGTGCCACTGCACTCCAGCCTGGGCGACAGAGAGGACTCCAATTCAAAAAACAAACAAACAAACAAAAAAAAACAAAATGAAGAAATGAAAGCACAGAGAGAATAAATGAATTTTAACTGTTTATATACTGAGATGAAAATAGGATTAATTCATGTATTAGTGAGAGAAGATATACTTCTCTGCCACTGTTTTCTGGGTGCTGGGATGCAAAACAATGAGTCTCACTTGTCAAGGAGCTTGTAGGGTTGAGAAGGCAGATAAGTAATGAGAAGACAGACAAGGTCAAAGTGTAGTAGTGTACTAAGCATTCCAATGGTGTTGTCTTCAAGTCGCCTTGGGACCAGATAAGTGGGCCAAGGAAGGCCCACAAAAGATTTCTAAAGGAACTGAGGCTTTAGCTGAGACTTGAAGGATAAGCAGGAGTTAATACAGCTCAAAGAAAAAGGGCAAGCCGGGCTCGGTGGCTCAGCCTGTAATCCCGCGCCTTTGGGAGGCTGAGGTGAGTGGATTGCCTGAGCCTGCGGGTTCGAGAGCCGCCTAGGCAGCGAGACCTCATCTCTACAATAAATAAAAAAAATCAGCCGGGTGTGGTAGCGCATGCCTGTAATTCCGGCTACTCGGAAGGCTGAGTCGGAAGGATCGCCGGAGCCCAGCAGGTCGAGGCTGCGGTGGCCGGGAACGGACGACAGAGTGAGACTCCAACTCAAAAAAAAAAAAAAAGAAAGAAAGAAAAAAGAAAAAGGGCAAAGTCAAATTCCAGGAGCTTCTAGTTCACTCCTCTTTCCACTGAACATTCATTGCTATGGAAAAATTAGTTTTCACTTTTTTTTTAAAAAGTGTTTTGTAGAGACAAGATCTCACTATGTTGCCCAGACTGGTCTCAAACTCCTGGGCTCAAGCAATCCTCCTGCCTCAGTCTCCCAAAATGCTGAGATTACAGACGTGAGCCACTGCACCAGGCCCTGGAAACATTAATTTTCAAAGTGTAATGTTACCATATTCGTTTACTAAATGTCTTAGACAGCATGTGGTCAAGCCTTTTCATTTGGCAGCTGAAGAATGTAAAACCTTGAGAATTAAGTAACACAGTTCCATTTCAGTGACTTTAGCCCGATCTGTGTCTGGTGTCTCCTTTCCTGAGCCTGAAGGAAGCCCGTGAAACTAGAGCTCCTCTTCATGGTGCTGGTGTCCCCAAGAGTTACTCTGAGCTTCTCACCACCCCTGTGCTTCTGTGCCTTTAACAGTTTCACAACCAAAGACGAGCTGGGGAAGGCAGCACCTGGGCTACTGACTCCTGGACTGATGGGAGAATCTTCAGAATCCTTCAGTGCCTCAGAAGATGAAGGCCCCAGGGAATACCAGGCCAATGACTCTGACTCAGATGGGCCTATCTTGTACACCGACGATGATGAGGATGAGGATGAAGATGAGGATGGCAGTGGAGAAAGTAAGACTATTCCCAAGAGGTAGGGAGGAGAGTGGGTGACAGACAAAGCAGCTGAGTTTTGTGTAAGAACCAGACGTCTCTGGGCTCTGTGGCTCAGCC